TATTATATTCAGAAACGTTTTTACAGTTAGAGTCAAAAGGAGATTTTTCTTTACTGCATAAACATCACATCATAATAATTACATTATTTATTTAAAAGATGATGAGGGAATAAAATAAGACAAAGTTGCTCAATGTTGACACGGCATTAGCAACACGTCCTGAGTCCTTTGACTCCAGAGAAGTGAGCATGAACATGAAGGATTCTTTCACTCCAAGTAAATATTGGACCCAAATTTCACAAAGCACGTGTTCCATACGTTCTGACACTAAAATTGTATTTTTCAGACACACAAGAAATAGAAAAGGAAAAGAGAATGAACTTTGTTTGAGACCTTTACTCTGGTAAACAAAGAGGACGGCACATGTGTGAATATTAAATGTACACAGAAACATGAAGGATTAAAGATGAAATCAGAGGATATTCATTCATCTATTCAGGAGGACCTCAGGTGACTGCTAGCAGGTGACCTCAACCACAATCACGTGTGGCTTCCTGGTGTGAAAGACGCAGAGAGGGTCAAGACATGACAGTTGAAAACGTACACACTGAAATGATTGACGAGATATGCTTCACAGAAAATCATGGAAGAATCTTTTTATCTTTTAATTTTTGTCATTATTATTATTATGACCATTTATTTATGTGGTTATTTATCCATTTCTCTCTCCTCCTCTTCCTCCTCTGACATACCTGCACATTCTGCCGCTCACAGTTGTTTTTATATGAACACACTTTCAAGCATTCCCCAAAACACTTAAACACTCTAACAAAAGTACAAATCAGAACCATAATCACATCATAACATCTGTTTCCTTCCTCTTGTGTTAATGTCACACTGACTAAATAAAAAAAGACAAACAAACTAGCAAAGATCAGAAAATATTGACGATTAGATGAGCGTGCACTTCAGAATGTGAGAGCAGTCTTTGGCCCATTACTGGCCTCACCCGACTTACATCCACACAATCACATGTTTCACTTTCTCACAGCTTTCAATGCACCAAAACGACACTTGATCACCGGTTGAGCCCATCGGACTCAGTGGTGTGTGTGTGTGTGTGTGTACTTCCTTGTGGATTTAACTTGATGAACATCAGGCGGGCGGTGTGTGTTTAACTCAGGTTTGTTACATGAAACCTTCCTTTTACTGTTCAAAGAGAGACCACTGGAGTGTAAATCCCTGTTATTCATCCATTTAAAAAGAATCAAACAATGAAGCTGCTCAAGTTCAAGTTATTTCATCCTCATGCACACAAGAATTACAGAGAAGCAGCTGCTGGCAGAGACGTTCTCAAATCTCAAGCTGCCTCCGAATAAAACGTATAAAATACAGTATATGTAGAAAGAAAATGAGACAAACATAATAACACAAACATGGAATTTACGTTCAGTGGGAGAGTCGAATGAGAATCAGAGTACCGACTTTTGTTGAAAGCTGAAAAGACAAACCTTAACCGATCAAACCAACACGGAGATTAAACAGATTCATTCAGAAACACTGTCAACACACATCGATGATGATCACACACCGGAGAAAACCTCTCTCTAAGGTGAGAGCTTCTTCAGGGAGCACAGTAAAGCATCACAGGGTTCCACAGAAACACAAACCAAGTGTACGGTGTCTCTACGTGACTCCTCCTCAGTCCAGTTATGGTCACTTCCTGTTCGCTGGTTGCAAAAAACCAAGATGGCGACGGCCAAAACGCAGAAATCTGAGATTCAAGACCGCAGTCCACAAACCAATGAGAGACGTAACAATGACTACGTCCACTTCCTACAAACAGTCTGTGGTGTCGATGGTTTTGGTGTGAGTTACAGAGAGTTGGAGATATCGGCTGCAGAGATGTCGGCCTTCTTTCCAATATGATGGGAATAGAGGACACACAGCTTACATTTGGAAAACTCAACAGCAAAGTGTCTGTGCAGAAATCATGACCGTTACTCGCGATATTCCACAGTTCTTGTTGTGAGCAGAGTGTCATGTTGTTGCTTTATATTGGAGAGAAGGCAGACATCTCTACGGACAACTTCTACAACACTGGGCAACTCGCACCAAAACAATCTAGATTGATAAATAGCACACAGGTGAGAGGAAAAATGTGTGTTTTAGATTTCTGGGGTTAATTGTCTCTTTAGCACTAAAAGCACTGCTTACATGTACTGTGATGCTGCTGAGAGGACAGAAGCCAAACGCTTTGATTGCACAATATCATTCATCAGTGATGAGAGGTGTAGAGAGTCTGGTTGTTTGAGTTGTTACAGGAAGAGGAAGGTGTATTATTGTATTGTTGTTCCATTTGACTGTGTAATGTTGAAATGGCCTGTCGATCAAACCTGCCAACTGAAAAAAGGAAGCCGAAATAAACCTCATTTGAGCATTTGTATGATGCTTTCCCCTCTGCATTCAGTTCTTTACAACCAGATTTAACAAACTTGGCGAAATAATGTATTTACTTGCCTGTCAATGCAACTACGTCAGTTTAAAACTATCTCACACTGCAACAATCATGTTTAAATTCCATGCAAAGAGAACAGTGTGCCAGCATGCTGCCATCAGCTATAATTCATTTTCGTGCAACTTGTCACCGTTGCAGGCGTTGACAGTAAAACACGTTGTGAAACCAGTTTTGCAGCCTATTCTGGCACATCGCGTGCATTCCATGAAACTTGAAAGGACTGCCATCATCCGGTCAGCCTGCGAGAGCGTGTATATAATGATGCTGCAGGTGGATGTGAGTGGTAGAGAACCTCCAGACATAGTGCGTTGAGGGCATCATGGCTTCAGTGCTCCTGCTTCAGCTGCTCCTGGTCTCATTGGCCTCTGCGTCGCATTTCTTTGGGGGATCCGTGACATTCAGCGTCAAAGACAGAAACCCTGACGGATCAATTCAGGTGAGAGATGCAACTTTTTATATGTGATGTGCAACGTGCGTTACAGATGATGTGTGAATATGTTTCCTCTGGGATTTGTCATATTCTGGGAACGCTTATTTAATCTCTTTATTATAAATGCTGTTGTTATTTTAAATGGGTTTGAATATTAACTAAATACATTTTTGTATATCTTGATCTTGTAAAGCATTTCTGAGTACATTGAAAAGATTTACATAACATGTGTTATGATTACTTATTATTATAACTTAGTCAGGACTTTATTAAAAACTATCTTCCTTTCTGAAACAGTTAAATTCCCCCGGATGTTGCTGACAAGATATTTAGATATTTATCAGCTCCTCAAGGGGGCCGGACAAAACGTGTATTTATAGCAACTTCACTTCCACATTTTATTTAAATTCAGAGTAAGAATTTAATGCGTGATGGATGTAAAGGAATATGGGTTGATATGTTGAACTCTTGATTTTGCAGGCTTGATTTCTGATCCATGCTTTCATTCTTGCTGAGTTCATATTATGTTCTTGTGTTTTGCCTTTTCACTCCAAAAAACTCTGTTTCTCATAATCAAGGCAAACTAGGTTCAGGTGAACACGCTAAAATATTTAACATTGTTGAACCGAGTCCCGTTTATGGAATCCCCCCGTGGCTGAAAGGGATGACCTTTAACCTTTAAAAAATCATTATTTCACCAAGAGAAGAAGAAAGAATCATAAAAGCTTGATGAGAACAATGACTTTCTTAATCTAAACGTGAACATACCATCATTATTGTTGTCATTATGGTTTCCATTCACGTTTTCTTTACTCATCTCAAGATCAGAGGACATATTGCAATAATATTGTTCTTTATGAATTTAAATAAAAACTAAGATATGAACTTTAACTATTTGTTGAAATGATTATTACAGATGAACACCCTTCTTTAAATGGATATCATTATAGAGTAAATAACAGAAATGTGATTCATTAGAATGTCCTTATCTTCAGCAGAGACACCGTCTTTAACTCGAGGATCTTTTTCCACAGGTGGAAGTTCGCAACAGGGCGACCTTTGATGGGTGTCAATTCCGCCAAAACTGGGGTTGTTCCAGAAGCAACTGTGGCTATATCTCCAGCAGTGAGAGAGGTATAATTGACCGCAGCACCAATGCACCACAATCCAACAGACAATGGTGTGAAACTGAAACAGTCACCACAAGAAACATCCGGAGTGACAAACCTTTTCAATTAAAGTGAGTTTTATTCTTCTTCTCTTAAATCCTATAAATGCTGAATATTATATTTGTTGTTCTTATCATAAAGAGCAGCCAGTGTTCGGAGCAGTATTTCAAGAGTGTCTTTTGATTGATGCACATACCAGGGCTGCTAGCTGCTGTTGGATCCCAACTCGTCACGGGCTGAATAATAATTGGAGACTACTGACTTCACTGGATTTGGGATCAAGATCTGACACTGGAAAACCCAACAGGTCACCAGACATTGCCATTCTACCTTTCCTCAGGTAAGTCCTCTGCAGTTAGCATGAAACAGCTAGGCTAAGCTACAATCTGTTTGTTAAAGAAACTGTGGAAAATGTCCTACTTCACCGCCTCCCAGTGGTACAAAAACAAAAAAGACACCGTGGCAGTCCTCAAATACATTTAGGGGCTGAAAGCCAAACATGGTCTGCAATCTGAATCCTACAGTTTGTCTACCAACACAATCATATAACATATAACAGTGACTCGTGTTACTGACTCGTGTTACTGACTCGTGTCAATGACTCATGTCAATGACTCATGTTAATGACTCATGTTATTGACTCATGTTATTGACTCATACTACTGACTCATGTCAATGACTCATGTTAATGACTCATGTTAATGACTCATGTTATTGACTCATACTACTGACTCATGTCAATGACTCATGTTATTGACTCATACTACTGACTCATGTTAATGACTCATGTTATTGACTCATACTACTGACTCATGTTAATGACTCATGTTATTGACTCATACTACTGACTCATGTTAATGACTCGTGTTATTGACTCGTGTCGCTGACTCGTGTTACTGACTCGTGTTGCTGACTCGTGTTACTGACTCGTGTTATTGACTGATGTTATTGACTCGTGTTGCTGACTCGTGTTACTGACTCGTGTTATTGACTGATGTTATTGACTCGTGTTACTGACTCATGTTATTGACTCGTGTTGCTGACTCGTGTTACTGACTTGTTACTGACTCGTGTTATTGACTCATACTACTGACTCATGTTAATGACTCGTGTTATTGACTCGTGTTACTGACTCGTGTTGCTGACTCGTGTTACTGACTCGTGTTACTGACTGATGTTATGGACTCGTGTTGCTGACTCGTGTTACTGACTCGTGTTACTGACTCATGTTACTGACTCATGTTCATGTGTCCACTCAAGAGTTCCCCAGAACTGCCCACGGACATACCAGCTGATGTCCTTTGATCCTGATGGAGACAGAGTTCGATGCAGATATGGAAATATCAGAAATGTAGAGTGTAGCTCATGTCACCAACCTTCAGGCTTCACCTTAGATCAGGTTAGTTGAAAACTCAATTTCCTAATACATTGTTCAATACTTCACTGATGCTTTGCTTGACTTAACTTCAAAATGTTCACATCGTCAGGACTCTTGCACATTACACTACCGACGATCCACTGCCAACCCCAGAGTTTATGGATTTGAGATGGTGGTGGAGGACTTCCCGCAAAAGCACATCACTCTGGGCTACACTGATGGATCCCGATCCTACAAGGCCCCACTGGTTGGGAGCAGTAAGAGACATGCCCGCAGTGTGTGGGGGAGCACAGCAGCCTTCACGACTACAATCGCAATCACAATCCCACCACGAACAACCACAGCAGCAACAACACCAACACCTCCTCCACTCAGTAAACTGCCTTTGCAGTTCTCCTTTCTTGGTGAGTTATTTTTTATTGTGTGACAGAATTTTCATTGAAAAAAAAACAGTTGCTGCAGTGCTTCATGTTGCAGCTCCGGCAACACTTTAATGAGATGTTACACTTGATGGTTACACATTCGATTTTTAACATTTTATTTATCCACTACTAAATACTAAATACTATTATATTGCCTGTGAATTTAGTTTCCCACATTGAACGTCTCTGTCCTGTAAAAACATGTCTCTTTCAACTCTTTTCATGAGGAACATGAACAGCTACAGCCAGCAGACCATTTGTCTTTGATAGAAATCAGCGACACTTGCTGAGGCAGCTTTGAAGTTGTGATCCACAGACAGCAGCAAAGTGTCGGTTTTTAAGTAGAACTTACTTATTGCACTTTGGAACTCAAATGAATCTTCTATCTTTTAACTCCAGTGGACCCAGCTGCTCCCTCGTGTCAGGAGGGACTCTACTTGCCAGAGTTTTTGGTCCCGACACCTTTAAACGGAGCCCGCCTCCATGCAGAGGTCGACAGAGAAGTGGAGATCAGAGTCAGAGCACGAGCGTCACACGCAACGTGAGTGAGAGCCGACGTGACCGGTGTTGCCCTGAGGCGCGTGAGATAACATCAGAGAGGAAAGAGGCAATAAATCTCTGCTTTCTTTGCTTTGTTATCACACAGAATACATGACATCATCATCAGCGGCCCACTGAACATCACCAAGCAAAGGAACACACATGGGGAGTTCGTCATCAGGTGGACGCCTATCCAACATGACCTGGGGGAGTTTTTCCCGATCTGCTTTGCTGTTGAAGCAGTGACCGGGTAAGCTTTGGCTTCCTTGTGAGAGAATTTGTACGTGTGTGTGAAGCCATGATTTGACTTTGTAACACATGTAACACAGGTCTGCTGGAACCGCCATCACACACATTCGCAATCACAATCACCACGCCACTCCATCTCCACAGTGAGTGACATTTCTCTGTGTTTGGTGTTTTTAAGCAACAAGGTAGAGATTCATCAATTAGGAGCCAAAACCACCAGTAATAATTTGAACACGACATATCGGCCTAACTGAAAGAGTAACAGGCATTAAATCAGCGTTCACCGATGCTCCTCAGGTCCGGCGTCTATCAGTCCGAGATGAGGTGTGTTCTGGTAGAAGTTCGGAAGGTGGCAGGTGAGTCTACTTTAATCTCAACATTTAGTTGTTTCAGTACAGCTGTAATGGTGTGTATTTTCACCAAATATATCACACGCTAAATACTCAGTTAAAGAGCCAAATATTGTCTGCATGGCTGGCGTACATTAGAGGTTAAAAAGCCATGAGACGTGCACTTCTATAAAGTGCTGTGATTGGTTGAACCTTCCTACCAGACAAAATTCAGAGCCGTCATTGGACGCAAAACATTCTACACAAAAATACCACGTTCACTGTTCATACACAGTGAAACCAAACCAGCAGGACTGTAAAGAAACTTTCTTTTTGATGGAAACACAACCTAAAGGTGTCCTGTGGAGTTTCCTAGTATACAAACAAATACCATGTTTACATTCATTAGAACACATTGTGTGTATCGTGGCCTTGGGAGCCTTTCCTTCCTCAAACAAAGTATTTTAAATCATGAACTGTTCACATCAATGTTTATCAGCTCGCAGTCTTTGTCTGCTGGAACGTTGCTGAAGTTCTTGTTGGCATTACTGCCCCCTGTAAATAAGTACACCATTGGTATATAATGTGTATTTTCTAACACTCTCTTCTTCTAGTTGATTCCCATGTGATCTGCACCGAGTCCACGATGAGAGTAGAGGTTGAGAAATCTTCATTCCATGGACTCCATGAGGATCATTTGCGGCTCAACGACGGCGCCAACACCGCCTGCAGGCTGCACTCCAACAGCACTTACGTCTTCGCCGAAATCCCCCTCAGCGGTTGTGGCACTGAGCTCGAGGTAACGCAGGCTTGTGTTACCGGCTGCTCTTCTCTCTCAGTCGTTGGTGTTGCCTTTATCTAGCAGTATGAGGACTGAATACATAACCTTTGTTCACTGCAGGAAGACGGGGATAACCTCAGGTTCAAGAATGAAATCACCACGTTTGACAACAGAGCCGACGTGATCACCAGGAAACACCTGTTGGAGGTGCACTTCTACTGCCAGTACCCCAAACGTGGAAACGTGACACTGGCCTTCACAGCACACAGGCCCATCGTCTCAGTGTGGGACAGGGGCTTCGGCAGGTTCACCTACCAGTTTGAGTTCTATCCTAACGACCAATACCAAGCCATGGTTGATCCAACTTCATACCCGGTGGTGTATGAAATAGGGAGCAGGGTCTACATGCAGATAGAGGCCACCTCCTCCGTCAACAACACCGTGCTGTTTGTGGAGTCCTGCAGAGCTTCACCATATGACAACCAGAACTCCCAGCAGACCTACTCCATCATTGAGAATGGGTAGGCATGGACACACCCCCTAGTGGCAATAGAGGGCATAACAGAGCATTTGTAAAGATTAGTTCTTTGATTGTTGCTTTAGAGGCTCTTCTGTGTAATGTCACCCTGTCAGGATGTAGAAGTCAATGCTTCACTCACTTCATCTTTTGTATAACCTATAGTACTTTTCTTATTGTGTGAATACCAATAGAACAATACCTCTGCCCCTATAGCAGCATCCACTGTAAGGCACAGAGTAACAAAGGCAACATGTCTCATCTTTTTGTTGTGTTTTGCTCTGACTAGGTGTAAAGAGGACCCGACCGTTCAGATCCATTCCCCCTCCCACCCGAGACAATTCAGGTTCAGCATGAAGGCCTTCAAGTTCATCGGCATGTATGATCAGGTAAAGAACGGAGCAGAGGACTGTTGATGTCTCTGGGAAATCTGTAAATGCTTCAACGAATAGGTCCAGTTCATGACGTCCTTTCATTTATCTGACTAGTTGTACTAAGTGGTAATCAATGCACACTTGGTGGACAGGTGCAGTCATGTGAACTTTATTAGAGGCACAGTGTTTCCGTCATGGATCTTCCATCAGGTATAACACACAATGTGAAGCAACACATGTTTGTACTGAAGCCACAGGTCGTAACAACCAATCAGAGAGAAGCAAATCTCTGAAAACACCTGAGACGCTTATCACATCAATAATTGATCAAAAACAAAACATATTTGAACGTAATAATGTCAGACTTTGTAGAATACAAAATAAAATAGACTTTTTTTCAATAAACATTAGTCGAGCAATTCAAGAAAAGTAATTTGTCAACAAAAACATGTAATTTTTGACATATTTTGTGAAACTCAATCTATGTTTCCCATCTCACCTTTTATAGAACAACATTGTATTTCATTTTAAATTCATTTTTGAATGTGGTTATTATGAACTTGACTGGTTGTTACAACCTGTGGCTTCACTTTGTGAATCTGATGTCTAACGATCATGACAGAAAAACTGCATCTCTAATAAACTCAGCGCTGATGAGGTTTTAAGAAATAAACTGGTACCACTTGACACGGATGGACTTGAGGACGAGGTGGACGTCACTGACTGTCGTGGAGATGCAAAGTGGAGCGGAGGTTTTAACTGGATCTGAGCACAGCTCTGCTGTCGGTCCGTCTGCTGGTGTGATGACAGCGTGTTCTGTTTCATTCAGGTGTACATCAGCTGCACAGTCCTGATGTGTGCAGCAGGGGAACCCAACACCAGGTCCTCTCAGGGATGCATCAGCTCCACAACGCCAGCCACTTGGCCTCAAAACCACCACCGCAGAAAGAGAGAGGTTCGCGTGGAGAGTGCCAGGCACTTCGTTTCCCAGGGTCCCCTGCGCTTAAAGAGATCAGTGGAGAGCAGCGAAAGCTCAGGTATGAAACCAGAGAAAGGTTATTTGTTACCAGCACACTTCACTTGTTTGAGCCACTTTGGACCAGATCAAGTTAAAACATGGTGCTTGTTGTCTCTCCAGCGCTCCACCTGAATCTGAACCTGGTGTTCATCGCTGGATGTCTTCTCGCAGCTGTTGGCATGATCAGTGCCGTGGTCCTGTACAAGGCCAGGATGTCAAAGGTCAAATACCAACCTTTGTCCACAGATGAACGTTAAGACAGCATGCAGAATACCAGTTCTGCACTAATTACATTTGACTACGTAAAGCTTTTGATTCGTTTTGCTGTCAGATATTGAGTGCTCGTGTATCTTCTGTGCCCATTTAAATGAATGAGCTTCATATTAAATCCTTTATACATGTCTACAGCTTATAGGTGGAAATACTTCAGCGAGGAAACATCTGTGCCCCTGCAAACAGGAAACCAGAACGTTTTATACTAATTAACACTAAGAGGCTGATCAACCAGTTCTGCACAGGGTTATTATCTTGAAATGAAACTAAATGAAAACGTTATCCTTTAAGAAAAACTAAAAGCAAACTGAAACAATATTCCCTGTTTACAAAATAAATAAAGATAAAATAAAAATGAGCATAAATTCATTTCAGTTTTTGTTTCTTAGCTCTAATATATCACTGCCAAAGAAAACAGTAGACAGAATGAAACATTACATTCATTCATCATCCCTCCGGATCATAATGGCCATTAAAAGATCTCTTTTCAAAGCCAGAGTCGGTAGGAATGAGAAACTAGCCTCATATCGGCCTTCAGATTAGCCGTTAGACATGCAGTTCAGTTTGTGTAGCTAGAAAACTTTCCACACTTTGAAACCTTTATTGCGTTCCCTTCTGCTGACTCGGGCCGGGTTGCAGGCGCAGTAGGTTTAGCAGGGTATTCTAGACGTACCTCTCCACAGAAACCTTTCCAGATGAGATATATGATATTTCTGGGTTTACCTGAGAAACCCTGTAAAGGGAGGTGTCCACAAGTAATCCTGATCGGATGCCCGAACCAACTCTGCTGGATCCTTCACCGCCTGTAATCATGGTGAAGTCATGTATTTGTGTCTTTTAAATGGGATTTTAATTTACAATAAAAGGGGAAATGTGCATTATATCAACCTTCCATTTGATGTCTTCATTACATAATAAGCAATGCTTTGTTTGTCTGTGGTTTGTTGTGCATGTGTGCGATGTAATCATTCGGGGCTAACGTCAGCATGCTAATGTAAGCGACGTGGGTGTATGATAAAGAATAAATCAGTTCAACACATTCTGGGTTTTCCTGATAACTTTAGTCAAGTCCCAACACGGAACCAGACCAGCCAAGACCAAGTGCTCCTCCTCCTCTGTCATTACATAACCCCATAACCTTCAACCGCCTGAACGCTGACTAGTGGCGACATCTGCTGACAGATCATCAACTTCACATAACTGTAGATACTAAATATGTGTACACAAGATGGTAGACAGCAGTTCAACATCATACTAAACTTATGCTTGCACATGCACGATTATGTTTAAACCTGTAGTTACACAATTTCACTCTGACACTAACTTGCTCATTGCTAAGATGTTTAGCACAGTGGTGGGTCGTCAGGGCCTGCAAGGCCTTCTCTGCTGGCCTAGACACTGACAGAATCCCAAAGTTATATCTATTTTATAATTTAATAATTTTTCTTAAATACACTACATGTATTATAATTTATACAAATATGTTTCCCATTATCTTATGTTCTCATTGCACAGCTACTGTCTTCCTCAGTTGCTCTGCTTCCAGTGTAGCTTGTTTTAAGTAGAGCTTTTATCCAATCAGAGTTCACCTCTGTGTCTCTAGGTAAGAACAGAGCCAGAGGCCTGCAGACTCTCAAGTGCATCCATGTGCAGTTTAAGTGAATGGGGACGATATTGTTGATTGTCATTGTGTTCAACCAATCAGATCTTTAGTTTGACATGTTGGGCGTATTCTTTGACATGTCAGAGCCTGTTAGCCGGCCTATAGCTACGTCAGCATTACGTGCAGCTCAGTTTCCATGTGCAGCTCTACAGTGAGGTACAGCGTGTGCTGTGATTGGTCAGTGGGCGAGCACGTGACTACCGTGAAACAATCACGTGATGCAGCTCAGCCAATGAAATATGGGCATTCTGACAAGTTTCCTGACTCCAGTGAGATGTACACACACAGCGACACAGGGGGCTGAGACGAGGAACCAGGTAGCAGAGCAATACGTCTCTCATGGAAGTTGTGAAAATTAAATCATAACCACGAAGGCTGCAGCCCCTGAATTGAGACGCAGCTACAGAGGCACTGAGACACACACATGACTTAGAGATATACGTGATGCAGCTCAGCCAATCAAATATGGGTATTCTGATAAGTTTCCTGATTCAAGTGACATTTACACACACCGCGACACAAGAGGGAGAGACGAGGAAAGACATGGCAGAGCAGGACAATAGCTATGTAAGCTGTAAATGATAAAACATAGGACAATCGCCAAATGAGAAAGTTCGCCAGAGAGCTCAGAGTCTCTCTCTCTCTCTCATATCCTCTCATATCCGCTCTCTCTGTCTTTCTCACTCATTCTCTCTCCATCTTTCTGTGTGTCTCTCTGTCATTCAGGGCTTAGAGATCTTAAGAGGACTTTCACCCCCCCCCCCCCCCCCCCCACCACACACACACCCCATTTCAAAATAAAAGCTCCAGAGAGTGAATTCTAACTGAAATGCTTGTGATGAAGCCTGTCATTTAATAACTTCTGTTTATGTGTCAAACATTATGAATATGTCTCCTCTCCCCCACCCAGTCCCACCCTTTCAAAATAAAAGCCTCATGGATTAACTGTATTTAAACGTTAAGCTCAAAATTAGGCTTTTTTGTTGAAATAATTAATGCTCTTACAAACACTGCAACTACTACTGCTAATATTTCTACTATTACTACTACTGCTACTACTTCTTTTTTTTTTATTATTTGACAACAGTGATATCAGCAAAGACTTGAACCTGATCTACATCCTAAACATCTGCAACAGAACGTATGGAGCAGCGTTCACTTCTCTTGGACTAATGATGCTGTAAAAGATACAAAGTTACAAATAACTTGTGCATTAACAGGGAGTCAGCTCTCCATTGAGTAGGTGTGTGCTGCTATTACTATACCATCAATATATTATTACTACCACTACTGCTATTACTACCACTACTACTATTACTTATACTACAACTGCTACTGTTATGTTAAATACTACGACCACTACTACAGCTATTACTACGACTACTGATACTACTTATTCTTCTAATTACGAATACTGCTACTAATACTTCTACTACAACTACAACTTCTACTACTACTGCTACTACAAATATCACTACTGCTACAACTAGTACTTATTCTCATGCTAATAATACTTTTACTACAACTTCTACTACTACTACAAATATCACTACTGTAGCGGACCCCAGCCGGACAATGGTGAAGCGTACTGATGTTTCCAGAGGCCTTTATTCATGTTCAACTGTTGACCTTACTTTGATGAACACAAATTTACTTTTCTCTCCTTTCTCCAGAAAACACCGTAAGAGCTTCGGAACACATAAAACATAAATGAGCTCTTACGAGTTTAAACATTCAGAAAATTACATTTAAATACACATGTGAGCATTAATCAAACACTTTCTTTCATGTATACTCTCAAAAGCATATGTTAAACCGAAATCTAGCATTAGCTTGAAATTACAGCTTAGTCATTTAGCTATACCTGTTAAGCTAACATTAGCATCTAGTTGAAACAGTAATATATCAAACACACAATGAACACAATAAACACAATACCTTGTTCCCGTTCCCGTGCTTAACCGTTATTAGGAAACTCTTATTTTAGAAGAATATATTTTATAACACCTTTCCTTCAGTCTCCACCGTCAATTTTCGTAATGTTCTTTATGCGAAGTCAATTTACAATACTCTGACGAGATTTCGATCCGTTTCCGGTTTCGCCAAAATGACTTCAAAATAAAGGACCCAAAAACGTAAAAAAGGCACTTGCACAATAAAGGCTAGCAGGAAGTGATTAACTTAGTGGCTTGCAAAGTAAAAGGCTTGTTGGCAATATTCACAGAACCTCTTAAGAGTCTGTTACAACTACTGCTGAAAATTTTTTAAGCTACAGAAACCGTTTGAATATCAAAATGTTCAGCTCTTTCAGGAGAGGGGTGCTTTGACTTTTCATATTTGTAATCTTTAAACTTTTTTAATTAAGCTTTTTGCAATTTTCTTTTGAATGGGATCTCTATGGAGAAAATCTTCAAATCCTGTTAAACTTCTTCAACTTTCAAAGCCTTCTTCCTCATACTTTCAGCTACAGACACCATAGTGAGACATTTCAACTAGAAGGGTTTTCAGCAGTGCAGTTTAAATGCTTTCAGGCTTCAACATTTTTCAGATGGGTAGTCTCCCATTTCTTAATTTTCAGCAATTTTTTTGCGATTCATTTCAGCTTTCAGCATTCCAACGCATTTTCAGCAGGAAATGCATTTTCTAGTTCTGCTCACTACTCTCATTATATGAATCATTTCTGTCGTATGCATTGAATGTGTTTTAACTCTGTAATGTTGTTCATTCTGAACACATGACATCTATCACACTTCATCCTTATCCTCTTCTGTTGCTCTCCCTCAGGTCTCTTCCTCTTTTTCCTGTTCTGATGTGAGGGTCCCGGGACAGAGGATGTCATATGTGTACAGATTGCAAAGTAAATTTGTGATTTTGGGCTATACAAAATAAATTGAAATTAAAAGTTGATGTATACATTTTAAAAAGTTATAGTATAGTACGTAAAAAAAAAAAAATCATAAAAACAGTCATAGTATGCTATCCTAATGACTTTTTTTTCAACATACTATGACTTTAATACTTTCTTTGACATAAAAAGTCAGTAATGTTAAAAAAGTAGAGCCTCATATTTCATGAAGTTGATTTAAGCCTCCTGAATGTTCTTATTGTACGTGTTTTGATAAAAGCTACAGAAATGAAAGACATAAAACGATCGGCATCAAGTTTAAATCAGTCCATTTCAACACAGTCACGTTTAACAGCTTACATTTGATACAATACTCGGCTACCGAGTCAAACTAATGATGAACTTATTTTCATTGGGATTAAAATAACGCACCACAAACAAGCTAATAATTCATAGTTTATTTATTGAAACAAAAAAAAGCAGGTAATGTGACTTAAGCAAACAGAAGTACAGATAAAAATAATGTATTTGAAAAGGTCACTTTTTAAATTGATTGAATACAAAACCCCAAAGATGAATCTAATGACGTCACTCAGACAGACAGACAGACGAGCAGTTTGTTAGAACCCTTAGTGTTTGGAGAATTCCCTCAACATTTCAGCCTCGGCGCTGGGAAACAAAAACATGTCTTCAAATCTATCATTTGTCAAAGCGTCATGAATCCTGATCTCTCTCTGTACATCTAACTCAGCATGATATCAACACTTAACCAGTAGAACGTACGGAGATGATTAAAGTAATACTATGAGCTGTAGTATTTTAGTATTATGGCCTCGTAACTCTGTGAATGAACATCTGCAAAAAGCAGGAAAGCTTATTTTTGATCATTTATAAAATCAGAAAAAGGAGATTCGTACGACACGAAGCTTTCACTGAATTCTTCTCATCGAGAAGCGAGGAGGGATTTAAACTCCTGCGCAACACAGCGGACGTTAGGCAGACAGGCCGAGGAAGCGAAGCAGCTTTTTGGTCCACAGTGGGATGAACATCGTGATCCACCTTAAACTGCTGCTTACGTTAAGGTGGAGCTACTAAACGGAGCAGTCGGAGCTCAGTCGAGACATTTCAATCTCTTTTGCTGTCACTACTCTGGTCTTTGGTCGAGACTAAACATCCTCTAACATGTGAAGAAGCAACGATACCTGAAGTTGATTTGAATATATTATCCAAAATGCAACTTGTGGCTGCGAGGCAGGAAGTGAACTCAGAACGTCCACGTCACATTTTGTATCTTTAACTACTGCAAAGCCCAGAAAATGATTCTAAGGTAACTCCATCTGCTACACGGAGAGAAACTAAGTGATCCGAAAGAGGACAAGACAGAAGAGCCATGAGGAAAAAGGAGCAAAGGAAAGGAGGCTAGGAGACCTGAGGACGTCTCACACCGAGATGAAGAGAGAAAAGACCAAAGTGTGGATTTGAAATCGTCTCCTTCCTCTTTTCATCATTGTCGAACCTCCACGTAGTTGGCGGGGAAAAGGCCGTAGGCGCCTCTGCACACGCCTCTCCACCAGCCCTCGTCGATCATCTCGATGTTGGTGATGATGTCGTCGGGGTCGAAGGATATCTCGTCTTCGCCGGCTGAAAAAACGGGAAAAAGAAATGTGACGAAGGAGCACGAGACTATTGTAGAGCTGAATTCAGTCAGTTCATCCGTTAAGTCGATCAACAGAAAATGTATCTGCCACAATTGTAATTAGCATTTATCCATTTTAGTCCTGGTGTAACCGAGCCCCCGTCACTCCGGGCCCCAGACCTTCAGTCTCACCTGCTTGGTAGTCGTACAGAGCCACCGCTGTCACCCCGATGTCTTCGCCGCCCGACTCGTACTGGTCGCCTGCAAGAGGAAGACGGTTTGTTATTGACGCTGTCACGTGACTTCTGACCATGTCGGGTACTGATGTTGGAGGCGTAGCTACGTGATGCTAGCGCCCCTCAACATCAATGCCCCTCGTTTCCCACCTAGATGGCAAAGAACATTTTAGAGAAAATATCAATAATTGGATGTGAATCTGTCTTGAGCTTTTGCGGCCACTGATATCGTCGGAGACTGCCTCAATTTTCCATCTACCTAGTACACCGATATCTGGACAGCTCATGTCTGTCTATATTGAAGGCCAATGCCTTTAGGGTGAGTGCAGTATCACGATTCATCCACCAGAGGGCGACACAGAGAGAGTTTTTGCATTAGACGACTGGAGACGACTCAAAACCGGTGCAGACACATCGGAGTAGAAGTTAGCAGCGTTGATTTGCTCTCGAGCAGAACTTTTAGTCACAAAATGGCAAAAGTGAGACATCATTTATGGTTAAAGTGAAATTTAACTTTTTTTCCTCTTCTGGTGCATTTTAGGCGATTGGTGTTGGAATCTTGCCTCGACGTTGCTACATGTTCATCGTGTGGTGTTCCTAATTAACTGGCCATTGACTGTTTTAATATTTCAATGAACTGCCCGATGGACCAAAGACAATTCTCCACCTTTCAACTATCAAGCTGTACTCAAGTCTCAAGTCTGTCTCTTGTGCTTTTCTTTAAAAGTTTGAGAAGAAGATGACAGCTGATTATTGATGACTGATAATCCTAATAAATGATGTATAGAGGACAAATACCAAACATCTGCTTGTTTCCGTACGGCGACCAGGTAAATGAAAGTCACCTGCTTGTGGGCTGGTCTCTTCGGGGTTCTGGTACAGGTCCTCCTCCTGGTTCGGAGGCACCGCCTCGTACAGATGCTCTCTGTTCTCCTCAGCTTCCGCCGTCTTCTATTGGACACAAACATAATCTGTTTAATGATTTCTTCTGCAGAGAGCACTGCTACATGCAACTAAATCTGGCTTCAGTGAGTTACGAACTTCTCTGAAGCCAGGAGGAGGTTCTCTTCAAACCAAGGAAGCCACAATATCAAGAAACATTAAGATGTGTGCTGAAGATCACAGACGAGGGCACCGTTTGTATTCTTGATGCTTGTATTGAAGGCTGACATTTTTTCCTGAAGACCAGCTTCTTTGTGTCACTACCTGCACCAGACTCACCTGGTATGCCGGGGCGGCAGCTGGCTGGACTGGTGGGGTCGGAGTGGGACTGGGACTTGGACTGGGACTTGCAGCAGCGGGGACGGGAGAGGGGGCCTTGGCTGTCTCCTCGATTTTACGGCGCGCCTCCTCTTGCTCCTGCTTCTCCTTGGCCTGCCGACGGCCTCGCTCCTCCTCGGCCCTCTTCCGGTCCTCCTCCTCCTTCTGCTTGGCGATGTTCTCGAAGCGAGCCTTGATGCTTCCCGTGCTGTTGGCGGCTGACGTGGCGGGAAAAAAAAAAATGTGCAGAATGAAGAAACGACGTAACGAGTTGTGACTCAACCAACAGCTGACGAACACTTACCAGCCTCCACGGGTTTGGTTTTCTGGTAAGACGAGGTCACCTTCTCCACGTCCTCAAACGTCCCGGCGCTCTGTCACACCAGAGATAAAGTGAGACGCAACTCTACGGCCGGCGCACGCACGCGCACGCACGCACGCACGCACGCACACGCACACACACACACACACACACACACCTTACCTTGTCCATAAGGTCATTCTGGACTCCAAATTTACCTCCAAATCCTTTAGAGTAATCTGGTGACAAACGGGAGATTTAAAGAGTCAGTTTCTGTTCGACCCAACCACAGTCAGCATCACCAGAGCAGACCTGAGACGAGCATTTAGCCTCTAAACACGTCCTCCATAGACTTCACTGAGGGACGCACTGATTAGAAAGGTCTCTGGTCTGCAGAGGTTCAGATGAAGCACACTGTGGTTGGTGGCATCAGAAGGACGGGTTGATGAGCTCATGCAAACCTGTAGGGAGGAGAAACAAAAGAGAACTTAACATAAGCCAGACAGGAGGGGGGGGGGGGTCAAGCAGCCATCTTGGCTCAACCTGTGCTCTGGAGATCAGCCGTGAAACATCATGCAGCAGCATGAGGGCAGAAGCAAACAGGCAGCATGGAGGCGGAGCTGGAACAGCAGGTGGGATCAGTGAACACTGATTTATTAAACAGGCCGCACCACGTGTGATATTTGAACTCTAAGCTTTTTTGGGGGTCTTTGATAGTTTGTTGTTTTTCGACCGCAGAGAAAATGTATGTTCTGAAAAGCTAAAACCAAATATGGATTGAAGCAGAATATTTAGTTAGATACAAACATCTCTTTGTTACAATGAATTCTGATTGTTTTTTGGGACTTTCCAACGAAATGTTTGGATCACGTGAGTCTGAAACAAACCTGGAACCTAATTCTACAAAAAGCATTTTACTAATAATAAATATATTTATATAACCAATATTAGTGAAGCCTGATCTTTATCTGCAACTGTGCAGAAAAAACGGCTTAAAACATTGAAAAAAACGTGAAAAAAGCATTTGAATGTTTTAGAGTTTGAAGGTCAGCGTTGTGAACGAAGCCCTCGTGACGACACGCTGTATTAATGTATGAACACCTCAGATAATGTTCCTCTACATTTCTAACTCTGTGGTTGTTTTATAGGATATTTATATTAACTGATCGAACCAAGATGACGGATATCTGCAGCAGTACAACAGGCTGTGTGTCCGTTGCTTAACAGGAAACAGCCGGGATGAGAGGACGGTGCCAAAGAAAGAACAACAAGCTGGGAGGGAGGGCTCTCTGGAAACAGGGAGGGGGGTAATAACAGGGAGGGGGGTGATAACAGGGAGGGGGGTGATAGTAAGGAGGTGGGGGGGGGTGTCTATGCCTTTCTGGGACTCGTGCTTAGCCAGGCCCTCCTTGTGCTCATAGCCCAGAGCACACTGGTCCTGCTTCTCCTTCTCTACCCCATACTGCCCTCCAAACCCACGCTTATAGTCTGCAACACACACACACAGATATATATACACACACACACACAGAGACAAACACAGATATATATACACAAACACATATATATATATATATATACACACACACACACACACACACACACACACACACACACACTGGGCAGACCTTTCAGGGCTCACAAACACTCATGTTACAGTTTTAAAAGAGGAAACTTTAAGGAAAACCAAATGTTGGTCACAATGTTCCGTTTCCAGATGATGGTAGTGTGCAGAGCAGGTCTGTGCGGAGAGTCGTCTGCACCACAGGAACCTCTGGTACCTGCTCTCTATTTTAACTGCCACCTCTCAGGAGAGAAGAACGTTTGGGACGTTCAGTGGCCGATGTGGTGCACCACGCTGCAGCCGTACGTACATGTTCTGAGAGGGCTTACCTTCCTAAGTGGGGCGAGAGGCTACGTGCAGTACAGACTCGTCACATTGGCCATAGGCGTCTGAGCAAGTGGAGCAGATGCATCCCGATTATTCAGTCAGTTCTGTTACTCCACTTCTTGTCTTTTTAATAAACTTATCAAATAGTCCCGTTGGTCCACTTTGAGTTCTCCTCATCTCATCCCTCCTCTAGAAGAACAATGCCTCCATTGTACAAACGCAGTTCAATGCAGGCTGCACTAAAGGTCTCAACTGCTCATCTCAAAGAGAATAAAACTACTTTTAACATGCTAGTGATGCTCGTTAGCCGCCAACAGAGCGTTACTGTGCTGCTGCTGACATGCAAACAGGAATCTGAGCTGTGCTTTCACTTCTTCTTTCTGAGCTTTAGAATTCAACCGCAGATTGAGGAAGTGGTCAACCTCTGAAAGACCACATCAGAGCCACAGTGACCCACATCAGAGCGGAAGAACACAAACAGAGGTTCTCCTCGTTTAAAGTTCCATTTTCCTTCTTTCTAACAACTATAATCGACAGCAAACAAATATTTTAGTCAGTTTTCCTTCATGGGAAACTGAAATTCAAAAGATTATGAATAATAAAACATTGACGATTAAATAACTTTCTCCAAAGCTGCACCAAGTTACAGAATCTTCTCACAAAACAAAGCTTAAAATAAAAACGCTGCACAATACTGGACTAATAGCACAACATGATCTTTATCGAACGTTTGACTTCCTCAGAGGAAGCAGGGGGGGGAGAGAGAGAGAGAGAGAGATCTCTCTCACAGTAGACTCGTCTATCAAATCGATATGGAGTCGAGTATAAAAACTGAGCAGCTTCAGCTGAAGATGATCCGTGTCTAGCCGGGTGCTTTGTTTTTAGGATTATTTTGGCATCATTAGTCCGATTGTATTAATATCATTACTCAGGACGTCCCATGAGCGTGCTCACTGATGGGTAATGAGACCCCTGTATGTGTGTACCTTTCTGGGACTCGTGGAGCTGGGGTTTCTCCTGGTGGTCCCATCCCAGCGCAGACTTATCCTGTCGGTCCGTCTGCACTCCAAACTTTCCCCCGAAGCCCTTCACATAGTCTGCAGGCAGGCAGGCAGGAACACACACACACACACACACACACACACACACACACACACACACACA